AACAAACCAGCCCCAAGAGACCCTACAATAATAAACCAGCTCTGAGACACCCTATGATAACAAACCAGCCCCGAGAGACCCTCCAACAACAAACCAGCCCCGGGAGACCCTACAGTAATGCACCAGACCATGCCACCCCCCTGAGAGACCCTATGATAACAAACCAGCCCCGAGAGACCCACCAGTAACACACTGGACCACGCTGCCTTACTGAGACCCTACCATAATACACCAGAGCACACCACAGCAGGAAGACCTACAATAACAAACCCAAGAAGTCACAGAGTGACCCTACAATAACAAACCAGCCTGTGCAGGCCTGAGAGGCTCTGCCAGACAGTGCCCCACACTCCCGACCCACAGCTCCCTGCTGTCCCAGCCCTGGCCCCTCCCCCGCAGCTCTGCGGGTGCCCCTCACTCCCGACCTCCTTGTATTCGAAGCGGCGAGGCCGGGCTCCGATGGGGGGAGCTGAGCTGAGCTCCGGTCACTACAGCTGAGACCGGCCAACTCACGGCATCCGCCAGCCCGATTCCAGTCCCATGGCAACCAGACCCAGTGATTCCTCCCCCCCCCCGCCCACCTGCCCTTCCCCCGGGGGGAGGGGAAGGCCCCCTGGCTCCCCCCAACCTTAGCCCCTCACACACACACACACACACACACACACACGCTCTCCAGCTCCACAGGTAACCCTAGCCTGGCACTATGGGCCTCCCTGCCCCCATCTCGGGGGGGGGGGGGGGAAAAAAACCCCCGGGGGGGGGGGAATTTAAACCCCGGGGGGGGGGGGGGGGGGATTCCTCACTGTGATCTGTCCAGAACTGTTTGTTATTGTAGGGTCTCTCTGCGGGGGGCGGGGGGAAAGCCACATGGTTTGTCACGGTAGGGATTCTGGGGAGCACTGGGGGCACAGACACAGGGTTTGTTATTGTAGGGTCTCTCGGGATGGCTGGGGCGGAGTACGCTGGGTTGTTATTGAGCTTGAGTAGCTGTGGAGTAGGGGGAGCCCAGGGCTGGGCTAGCAGGGGGCTGCGGGTCAGGAGTGAGGGGCTCCGGCAGAGCTATGGGGTGAGTGGGGGCTGAATCAAGACTCTTGGGTTCTATCCCCGGCTCCGGGAGGGGAGGGGGTCTAGTGGTTACAGCAGGGTGGGGGCTGGGAGCTAGGACTCCTGGGTTCTATCCGCGGCGCCAGGAAGGGAGTGGGGGCTAGTGGTTGGAGCGGGGCGGGGGCTGGAAGCCAGGACTCCTGGGTTCTCTCCCAGCTCTGCTACTTCTCCTGTCCCTCAGTTGCTTCGCTGGGGGGCAGCAGGGTCGGCCGGGGGGGGGGGGGGGGCAGAGCTGCATTTCCCCATTCCCACAGCCGGGGGAATCCTGCCCCCCCCCCCCGGCAGGACAAGCCCCAGCCTGCCCTCTCTCTGCAGGTGTTTCGCTGGTTGGGTGCACACGGGGGGGCCTGGCTCCAACCCCCGAAACTGGCCCTTCAGCTGGGGGGGGTTTCACCCCAGCCACCCCCTGCCCCAGAGTGGGGGACCTCAGAACACAACCCAGGCTCTAATCCACCCCCCACCCCCGGGTGCGCCCCTCACCTGGCCAGGCCTGGGCAAGGCTCAATCCCGGCTTCTCAGCAGCAGCGCCCGGCAGAGCTGCCAGGTCGCGTCACTGAGGCAGGGAGGAGACAGGAGGGAACTGCCAACCCCAGCGGCTGGCACGGGGCAGCTCCTGGCACTGGGGAGGGGAGAGCCCCAGCCCCGCCCCCGCTCTGACCCACGAGACCCCACCCTCCTCCGGGGGAGAGAACCCAGGAGTCCTGGCTCCGAACGGGAGGCCTGAATACACTTGACTGATTCAGAGCCCAGCACCACCAGAAACTGAAAATCCAGCTGTGGGTGGGGCCCAGAGCTGGGCTAGCAGGGGCTGCGAGTTGGGAGTGAGGGGCACCGGCAGAGTTGGGGGGAGCCCAGGGCTGGGCTAGCAGGGGCTGCGGGTCGGGAGTGAGGGGCACC